ACATCTTAACCCCAGCACTCAGAAGGAAGAGGCAGGTGGATCTATGTGAGTTTGAGGCCAGCCTAGTCTACAGAGTGAATTCCAGGACATTCAGAGAAAGCCAGGGTTATACAGAGAAACAGTGTCTTAAAAAAACAAAAAACAAACAACAACAACAACAAAAAAACAAAAAAAGAAAAAAAAAAGCAGCCAGAGAAATAAATATATCATAATGAGAAAGAAACACACAGGGAGAAAACATTGGGATGACAAAGGAAGGAAGGGTCAACCAAGAATGCAAAATCAGATGAAATTAATCTTTCAACAAATGAAGTCCAAAGTAATATTTGTTTTCAGAAAAAGAAAAACTGAAAGAATGCATTGCTTTAGAAACCTCAAGAATTCTGAGGAATGAGGCAGCAAGAGAATTTCAAGGGTATACACCTGCCATGAAGCCTGGCAATTTGAGCTCAATCCCCAGGATCTATTTAGTGGAAGGAGAGAACCAATCTCTGAAAGTGGTCCTCTGACTTCCTCAGTATGATGTTTCAAATACGGGACAAATGGCTGAGGTGTACATTAACATATCAAAGCAGAATCCTCCCTGCATCCCTCAGTCCCCACCTGTTACAGGGTCCTCCTGACTGCCATACCCCATCCCACGCGAAACTTCTCCAGCTCAGGGGCTGGACTGCCCTTCCCCCAGCTGCCCTTCCCTATATAATCCAGGCATTTTGGTTATCTGGTCCTTTTTGTCTGTTCTCCTTTGGGCCTCCTGGCTGCTGCACCTGGTTCCCCACCTTTCCCTCCCCCTCTCCTCACATTGTTCAGAGTCATGTCTACTCTGGACTCTCCCAGACATCCCTGTCTCTGATGATGCTCTCTCCCTCGCGCATCTAGAATAAACTCCCCTCCACCATGCCTAGGAGCAGTTGTGTCCTTCCCTTCTCTTTCTTTCTTTTCTTTTCAGTCAGTCAGTACACGTGTGCCCTCCCCTCTGACACCCTTATACATGTTCAGCATCACTGCAAAGCCCTCGCTAGTCTCCTCTGGGGTTAGCTGGCTTGCTTCTGTGAAATCCACTGTAGGGTTTGTACGTCTGTCTGCATGCTCTGTGAGTTCCCGTCACACGTGGAGCAGTACTCTGCCTGAAGGTGCACTGAGATATGTTCAAGATGCACACCAGAAGGTCTAGAGCAAACCTTGAGGTGGAAATGGAGGTCGAGATAGACTGGGAGGCCAAACACAACACAAACCCAATGCAGAAGTTAGAAGGGGCAAAGAACAAGTAGCCACATGGTTGATTAGTGACCATTTTGTTTTCTAGACCCCAATAAATGCTAGGAGCAGAAGAATCGTTGAAATTTCAAGACACAAAGCTATATTTACTTATGTATATCTGTCTGTGCATGGCTGCGTATGTGTGTGGAAGGATGTGCGGATGATATGAGGGAGCTGGCTGCCTTGGCTTACCAAGTGGATTCTGGGGATCAAATTCAGATCACCAGGCTTGGCAGCGAGCATCTTTCCTATTGAATCATCTTGCCGGCTGTTTTTCCTTTATCTTTCTCCTTGAGACAGGGTCTCATGTATCCCAAGCCGGTCTCTAACTTTCTATGTAATGAGAGAATGGTTTTGAGCTTCTGGTCTTCCTGCCTCCACCTCCTGAGTGCTAAGACTACAGTGGAGTACCTACACATCCAGTGATGTACGCTAGGTTTATGTGGCCCAGGGGGTGGAGCCATGGCTCCAGGTAAGCATTCTATTAATTGAGCAACACTCCCTGCCCTCATTACCAAAGGTAAGAAAGATGCACACAGCTGATTGGGAAGTATAGGGAAGTACTTGGAGAATGAAATAGCATGATGTGGAATATTTGCCTTTTAATTTAGCAAAAAGGCAAAGGTGCATGTGAGAGCACCCTAATAAGCGTGAAACATGATGATGCAGGGGCCCATCTCTGTTTTTATTTGTTTGAGAACTTCGATAACACAAATTCTGTTTTAAACCTAAGGGAGTCTTTTAACTGAAGCCCTGGATCTGAGAGGCCGCTTTTTAAGTTGTCCAACCCTCCCCAGCCCAGCATGGGAGGGTTCAAAGGAGGGCAAACCATTGGCTACAGGGCCCTGTCGAGTTGGTTTTCCTTCTTCTAAGTGAGGGCTCAGTGAAACCACTGAACTAGGCCATTCCATGGGTGGGAAGGAGGTTTACTGTAACTATGAAACTGCCTCCTGGCTATCAGGTGGTAGAGAGTAGCCAGAGGCATCTGGGGAGTCTGAAGCTGCCGTGGCTACCTGGCGTGGGGCTGAGAGACAGATGTGGAGGGGCAGCTGTGGAAGGGAGGAGGTAGAACCTGGTGTAGCCTGAGATTTAGACAGGAGGGGAAGAGGAAACATGCAGGCCAGTTCACTGGCTTTCACAAGCATTACAGGGAGATGTTCATATTAATAACGAGAAAAGAGCCTGGCGGTTAGCTAGGAGCTTTGAAATAAGTTATATGTGTGTGCTAACAGGGAGCTAGATGTACCAATTGCCAGAAGAAGAGAAGCGGCTCTCCCTGGCAGATAGAGACCTATTTCACAGTTCCTGAGCAATGCTGTGGAAGCTTCTATCTTTTTGCCAGCAATCTTTCTGAGACACCCGAAGCTGAGGCCAGACTGTCAGTTCGGACATTGCCAGTGGTACTGCCATTTTGGGGATTGGGACCTAACAGCACCCCCAACATGTGTGTATGTCCATGAGTGAGTGAGTGTGTGTGTGTGTGGGGGAGACACAGGTTGACATCAGATGCTTTTCCTCAATCACACTCAACCTTATTTTCTGAGGTCTTTTGGTGAGCTTAGCCATGGGCTTCCTCCACCTTCACCTGTGCCGACAGGCACTTGTTATAACGTCCGGCTGTTCATGTGTGTGCTGCTGATCCAAACTCAGGTTCTCATGCACACCTAGAAGGCACGTTCCTCACAGAGCCATGTCCCCCTCCAGCTAAAAAGACTTTCTTTTTTGAGATTATAATATAATTACATCATTTACCCCTTCCCTTTCCTCCCATCAACCCCTCCCATAAACCCTTTCCTGATCTCTTTCAAATTCATGGCCTCTTTTTTCATTAATTATTGTTACACAAGACATGCACACACACATTCCTAAATACACAGATATATAATGTTAATATTACTTTGTGTATATATGTTTTCAGAGTTGACCACTTGGTACTGGATAACCAGTTGGTGCGCTTGACCCTGGGGAGGATTGTTTCTCCTGCTCCCAGTATTTCCTAGTTGTCTTAGTTCTTTGTACTGGAAAGATTTAAGAGCCAGAAGATCAGGGAGCTTGCTGTGAGACTGTGTCTCATAGTAATATCAGGAGCTATACCAATAAAATCTCCCCAACATGTCTGCCTAAACACGAGCTGTACAAGGACAATAAACATGGATGGTGAGGCAAGCTCATGAGGCCTCAACCCTGTTAAATTGATTCCTAATCCATCAAGGTTTCAGACCTAAGTGGGCCTGGGAGAGCCTGGCTCATTTCTGGGTTAGGCTGTGATGAGTAAGGCTCAGAAAATGACCTAATGACCTGGGTGTATCTAAGACCATGGGGCTATATAAGGACTTGTGGATCATGCTAAGTCCAGGGTGCTTTGAAAATGCCAGTAACATCTATATCCCTGATGACTACTCCAATAGAGACAAGGGAAGGCATTTTCCATGACCTCCCTGAAAGCCCCATGGTTCTTGGAGGTTGACCACTTAGCCCTCAGACCAAGAGTTTGGAGAAGGGGAGAAGGCTGACTGGAGATAGTTCAGCCCTCCTTGTCTCAGAGTACGGTTGGGGCCACACAATCTGTCCCTATCTGTCTGTTCCCAATCCCACATGTTCGTCCAAGATAGACAAATGGAGATGGTCAGTGAGACCCCGAAAACAAGACTCAAAGAAAGGGCCGTGTAAGGAGGCAGGACAGTTCCTCACTAGCCAAGGAGCCACAGGAGAAACGCTTCACACTAAAACAGAATGGCCGCAAAATAGAGTTTTCATAATCACCCTAAACTGGCCTAAAAGGCTGTGCTCACATGTCTGAGACTAGCGCAAACTCCATGGAGTCTGTATCTAGCACAGGGTATCCAAGTACAAGATGCAAGGGTGGGTACCTTATCCAGTCTCACTGACAAGTTCAAGAGGGTGTGTGTACTCACACCTGCCAGGCCATCTCTGCTGTTTGAGGAATTGTCTCTTAGGCTGATGATTCAGGCCCCTGCTTAGATCCTGTTGGGGGTCTGGGTCCGCCTCATTCCCCCATCCCACAGCTTTCCTGGGCCCCAGCTCTACATTTCCGCCTGGCCTGTCTTGGAGAGGAGGGACACTCAGCTTTCCTTGTTGCACTAGCATTCCCTGAGCAGACCTGGACTCTGGAGGCTTCGCGGGGGTGGGGGGGTCTCCTCACTTTGCTGTGAGCTAGTGATTCTGTCAGGGCTTGCATAGCCTCACCTGAGGGGACCCTCTCCAGGAGCTGGGTCTGCTCCAGGGAATATCTCCACAGCCAAGTGAGAACTACAAGCCCTAGCTTGCTTTTTCTTGTCTTAAGAGACGTCTCCAGCAGAGATGAAGGGAGGCAGGCACCTACTGTGGTCTCTCTGGAGACCCAGGTTCCAGGTTCGGGAAGGCTGACCCTCAGGAACAGAGGAGTGGTTAGAGCCCAAGGAACATCTCCAGAGTACAAACTAAGCCACAGAGGAGTTCAGTGTCCACCGCTCTCTCTTTAGGTAAGACCCTATTCAGAGGGAAAACCATGGCAGACAATGGGCTGGCCAGGAGTATGAGCGAAAGGCAATATTACCCAGTCCCCAAGTGTGTGTGTGTGTGTGTGTGTGTGTGTGTGTGTGTGTGTTGTACATGTGTATTGCATGTGCACATGAGCTGAGGGAGATAAGAATTCTTGATGGCTGAATAAAAGCGCCCTTCCTACACTTGAATAGATGTCCAGCCTCTAACCACACACCCACTGCTCCTTCCCATCAAACCTTCAGTATCTTCTCCAGCTGCTTCTGTGTGTCAACCACAATGACGTTGGCACGGCAGTCGTGGGCGATGTACTGGCAGGCCTCATGGGAGCTAGTGGTGTAGATGCCAGTGACAATGCCCCTGTTGGAGGCACAGGAAGATTCATATCGGATGCAGAGGAACCATCCCCTTCTCACAGCCTCCATTCCCAGGGAGCTCCAACAGGCAGGGATGGGAAAAGGTGGACCCAGAAGGCCCTGGGGGTAGGGGATATGGGATGCTGGGGAGTGGTAGAGAGCCCGCTAAAGAAATGATAATCCTCTCTGTCCTTTCTGCCCACCACCAGCCCATAGGAGACCTTACCCCTGCCCAGTCACTCACCCTGCGAACACTGTGCCCACCGCAGAGAAGAACCACTCTGGGGAGTTGAAGCCGAGGATCCCCACGCTGTGGGCTCGCTCCAGGCCGAGCTCCAGGTCAAAGACAGATAGGCAGGTCAGCTACAATGAAAGGGTCTTTCCCTCCCCTGCTGCCTCCCAGTAGACTGCAGAAGCCCGTCCAGGCCCATCTCAGAGTTCACCCAGCCCGAAAACATCTTAGGGAATCAGCTTCTGGCAACCCCGTTGACTCTTCCTCTGACTTTCTGGGGAGACCAGTCTACTGGGTTTCCTTTCTTGAAGGTAGCCTGCGGTAGAGGCTCCATAAATGGAAGAGCCCAGAATATAGAGCTAGCCCAACGGATGGTGTCAGGCTTTACAGTGGTGGTTTCTGGAGACCTCGCCTGGCCGGGAGTTGAAAGCTCAAGCTAGAAAGCAGGTCTGGGGAAAGAAAGGATGTGCAGTGGGGGCTCCTACCTTCAGAAAGCCCCTGGCGACTTTGCGGGCAATCTCGTAGTACTGGTAGTAAGAGATGCGTTCCCACTTGTTTCTGCGCTTGACGCCCAGAGCACTGAGGCTCCCGTACTTATCCAGGGCCTCGTAGAACATCCGGTGCACGGTATAGGGTGGCTGCGTGCAGAAGGGTTCCCGGCGCAGGCGCACTCTTCCATCTGCCCGAGCTGTCCAGAGTGTTTCCTCTGCAAGGGAGAAATGACCGCAGTCTGGTCAAACCTACCTGGGTAGTCTGTAGGGGATCCTGGGCAGGGCGTCCATGCCTGCTGCTGACAATACCTTCCCGACAGGACCTTGAGAGCCGGCAGGCAAGCCAGGCCTGTGGTGTGCTGGAAGGCAGCTTGGAGAAGGCAAGTCTGGCTTGGCCTTGGAAGATGAGCAAAGTTTAGTATAGGGATATTTCATTTGTATTTTAATAAATAAAGCTTGCCTGAAGACCAGAGAGTAAAACAGTCACACTGATCAGCCTTACAGACCAGGCAGTGGTGACACACGCCTTTAATCTCAGTAACCACACAAATTTGCCATAGAAACTGGGTGATAGTGGTGCATGCCTTTAATTAATCCCATCTCTAGAGAGGAATAAAAGACAGGAGGAGACAGCTCTCAGTCACTGTCTTATTCTGAGAGTCCTGGAGGCAGGATCAGCATTTCAGATTAAGGTGGCTGACTGTCTTGTTTTTCTGACCTTCAGGTTGAACCCCAGTTTATTAATCTTGCTACAGTTCAGGGAGACAGCAGGAAAGAAGAGAGGGAACGACTGGAGGGAAGTCCCAGAGATGGAGACTCCTGGGCCTTTCTCTGCGCTTATCCTTGCCGGCCAAGGTTGGGGTGGGCCGAGGTGAGGCTCACACCCACTCACAAGAGTAAAAATGTCTCTGGGCTCAGAGCTTCTCAGGCTTCTGGAAGCAGGAGAGGACAGATCTAGCTGGACAGAAAGTCAGGGTTTTAGAAAGAAATTGGGGTTGGGGTGGTGGGCTGAAAACCAACAGGTCCACATCCCCAGCCGGCAGAGCCTACAGAGGGGAGGACAGACAGCAGGAGTCTAGACAGTTATGTCTGGGTCTGCTTATTCCATCCTCATGGAGTGGATCCACATAGCCTTATGATGTCACACATGGATAACTGTGGCCCAGACAGGTTCACTCACTTTCCCCCCACCACACAGCAAGAAAGTGGCAGAGTCAAGACTTGAACTCACATATGCCTGTTGTCTCATGCCACAGTTTGGGAAATGGTGTGGGTGGGAACAGAGCCCTGAAGCAGGCATCTTCCTATGGGCTGAACCACTTAACATGTTGGGTTGAGGCAAACACGACAGCCTGAATCTGCTTCCTCAGAGGAAGGTGGGGCATTTGTCGTCGAGTGTGGGGATCAGAAAAAAATGGCCAGAAGAAATGACACATATGAAGGAGACTCAAATGTTCAATAAAAGCTCATTCTCCTCCATTTTCCTATTTATAAAGGAAGTTTGCATGGGCTCTCTGAACTCTTTTAGACCTTTCGGGCTTATTTGTTTGTTTTCAGGGTCTTGAAGGCCAGCATCAAGTTTACAACCCTCCTGCCTCTGCCTGCCAAGCACCGGGATTATAGGTAGGTGCCGCCATATCTGGCGGGGCCTTCCTTCCCAGGGACGAGGATTATCATTCTAAAAACACGAGCACAACGTGGATAGAGAGTGAGCTGTCCAGGACCCGCATGGGCCTCACCGCTGCCTCCTGGCCAGGCACATCTTCGGAGGAGCCAACGCCTTCACAGCGTTTGCCTCAAGGCGTGTACCAACGGGGTATCTTGCCTCTGGTCCTAGACAGATCAGACGCCCCTTTCCTCTGTAGATACATTCTGAGGCCGCAAATAGACTTTGACACTGGCTAACGAAGTAAAGCTTGTGGGGCTGAGACAGGAGAACATAGCCAGACCCAACCAAATGAAAAGATGAGGAAGGGGCCATTGCAAATACAGGCTGGGCCAGGGGAGGGCACCAGAGAGAAGATTTTATTGTAACTGGTATTGGCAGAAGCCAGAACAAGTTGACTGACCATCTCCCCCTCTTTCCCAGACCAAGTCCCTGCTGTAGCCATTGCTGGAGCCCATTGCCCCTAGGTTGGAGGTATAAGTTTGGTCCCAAAGTCCAGCAGCCCCAGTTCCCAACCCTACCCTCTGCAGATTCTGGCCACTATCCCACAAGCTGAAGAAGAGTCAGGGTAACTTGGGTTCCAAACCTTGACCCTGTCATTCTCTGCTGTGACCTTAATAAGTGATCTTCTTCTCGGCTGCACTGCAATCATGGAAGGCAAAGAGGGGTTAGTGAGGACAGAGAAGCCAGATGCTCAGGCAGTACTGGTAGGAATGAAGGCTGGGGTACAGCTCTATTGGGAGACAGCTTAGCCATTTCTCAGAGAGTTGCTATACCTCTCAGCACTGTGACTCCTAAGTAGCTACTCAAGAAAAACAAACATGTGCCCCCACAAACACTTGCATATGGACATTCATACCAATATTATTTATCAGCCCAAGATTGGGAAGAACTCAGATGTCCACAGACAGGTGATTAAAGGCACAACATGCATGATCTAGTGCGGGACAATTGTCTATATTCTGTCAATTATATTTTAAATAAATGCTGATTGGGCAGAGCCAGGCAGAAAGTATAGGCGGGACAACCATACAGGAAGTAGAGGCAGGTCAATGAGAACAGGAGAATTCTGGGAAGAGGGAAGCTCCCTCTGCAGTCCTGTCCAGACACCGAAGAAGCAAGATGTGACTACGCCACTGAAAAAGGTACTGAGCCATGTGATGAACACAGATAAGAATAATGGGCTAATATAAGTTATAAGAGTTAATAAGAAGCCTGAGCTAATGGGCCAATCAATTTATAACTAATGTAGACCTCTGCTTGATTTCTTTGGGACTCAACAACTGTGGGAACCAGGCAGGACAGAAACCCCCGATAACAATGATCCATATGATGGGATCCATTTCTATTCTAAGAAGGAACAAAGCAACAATTGTGAGTCAGACATGGAGACAGCTCAAACCATGTTCAGCGAAAGAAGCCAGATGTGAAAGACCATGTACCTTGTGATTCCAACTGTAAGACGTATCCAGGAAAAGACTGGTTAGTTGCCTAAGGCTAGGGGTGGGAATGGGAGTGACTACAAGAATACAGGGCATCTTTTGGGATTGATGGAAATAAAAAATATAAATATAAATAAAAATAAAAAATAAAAATATAAAATATAAAAGTAAATTGTGACGATTACAGAACTTTGTAAGTTTCTAAAACTCGTTGAATTGGGCCTGGAAAGATGGCTCAGCAGGTAAAGACACTTGCCTACTTATCTGAGTTCAGTCCCTAGGACCTGCACGCTGGAAGGAAAGATTGATGTCCTGCTTGTTACCTACACACCATCGTACTTTCACATCCCCAACCTACATACATATAATAAATAAGTAAATTGAATAAAAACCTCTGTATCATACACTTACCATAGGTGGATTGAATGATATATGAACTATACCTTAGTGAAATTGCTACTAAAATAATGAGAGGAGGACAATGAAAGGGAGAAGGGCTGAGGATGTAGCAAAGTGGGCAGTATGCTTATTTAGCGTGCACAAAGCCCTGGATTCATTCTCCGGCACTACATAAACCAAGTGTGGTAGTACATGCCTACAAAACCAGCACTTAAGAAGTGAAGATAGCAGGATCAGAAGCTGAAGATCATTTCTAGCTGCATAGCAAGTTTGAAGGCAGTTTGGACTGCATGAGACCCTGTCTCAAAAACAAACAAACAAACAAACAAACAAACAACACCCCCCCCAAAGTTGATCTTCCAAACAGAGCAAGGACCCAGAAGCTGGTGAGTTTAGTGTGTGAAGCCAGGTACCCAGTTGCTGTCTTCCTGTTAGTTCTTTTCCCTCCCCACGGGAACAGAAACTTCTGACTGCTTGGAGCAGAAAAAGCGGCTTCCTCCTATGATCTAGTCCAGAAGCCCATGCCCCCCTGCACCTGTTCCCCTAGCTGCCAAGAGGAGCAGAGGTGAGCCTCAGTCTTGTGATCATTGCTAAAGCCTCCCTCAAGCCAAGAATTGTCTTTCTTCTTTTTCTACATGGACTGGAGGTTGGAGCCAGGGCTTCGTGCGTGCTAGGGCAGGTGTGCTGCCGCCATACTGCATCCCTAGTCCAAACCAAGAGGCTTAACGTTAAGCACTTATAATCTCTTGTTTCAATGACAAAAATGGAATGCATCCTCTAGGAAATACGAAACGGCTCAGAGGCCTGTGCTGTGCAGAAGTGGGCAGCCTCCTTATCCAGACATCAAAAAAGTTTCTTTCTGGCTGCTGCAGCAGTTGGGCTGGCTTTGGCTTGGTGTAGCTGCTGGGGCTCTGCCCTATGCGCTAGCCTACCACTGAGCTACAAATACAGCCCAGCAGTGCAGCTAGCATGTCTTCAAAACGAAGCGGGGCGGGGGAGGGAAAGATCATGCCATTGGAGTAATAACCAAAGAGGGGAAACTCAAAATGCCCGTGAGACTTTGGGGCTCATGTGTCAGCATCATAATAAATAATGCATAGCAATAAATAATGAATGAGTGAGTGCCCCAGCAATGAGGACTTGCCAGTGCAACCCACAGGGCAGCCTTCATTTGCACACACAAAGAAACCCTCTTGCTTTCTTTGAGACTTGGGGCCTCCACTTGCACCCTCAGTTTCCTGGCTTCGATGGAACAATGTGGTATGTCTCTAGTCTGAGGGAAGCCGCAACACTTGAGAGAGCACAATTAATATTGACATGTATTTTTGAAAATGAATGAGTAGATTTTGTGTTCTCAGCACAAAAAAAAATTAGTCTGTGATGGAGTACATGTGTTAACAGTCTCAATTAAGCCACTCCATACTATCTACGGGTTTTACAACAGCCCACCATAAATATATGGTTTTTAATTTGCCAATTTAAAATTTTAAGGGGGGAACCTATAATGCAGGGACAATTGTTGTGCCCCCAAGCCTCTATGTCAGAGAGGGGACAGGGATTGGTAGGGACTTCTAAGGAAATGGGAGAGGAGATGGCACACTAACAGAGGGCCCTGTTCCTCAGTGGTAGGATTCGGTGCCAGGTAAGAATGGTGTCATGGTTTGAATGAGATCGATCCTCTTAGGCTCATAGGTTTGAATTCTTGACC